CCCCCCCCCTATGACTGGAACCAGGTGTTCTTTTCATAAATCCTGGGATATTCCAAAAATGTATATGCAGATGTGGTGCAGGGCAGCCTGGTCCAACTTCACCTCATGGAGGAGGGAAAGGTCACATTAATCATCAGGGATCTTGGTTTTCTCTGAAAAAAAAAAAAAAAAGCAAATTCTCTGATAAAAATCCTCAATTAAAATGAAACACCACTATATACATAGGTATCAATTGAGCACAATGTTTTATTGATATATTTACAATTTCAAAGAAATTTTGAAGCCTACTAGTGCCTCAGTCACTATAATAAAATAAATTCTGAATACCTATAAATTTTGGTATTTGATTTTGGGTTTTTTGTCATAGAAAATCAGAGCTCCCTCTGCCCCCTTAGCTGACCAGGATGCAGGTCCAGACCCCTTACTCCCTTACTGCCAGAGGGGGCCCCCAGTTGCCAGGTCTATGGGGCCAGAGACCTGGGGCCACTTCCCTCTGCTCCCAGCAGCAGCAGCTGAGCCCTGATGGCTGCCCACAGGAAGCAGTGGCTGCTGTGGCAGATCGGGGCATGGAGCCCGGCTCCCCCTCCCCTGTGGGCAGCATGGCCAGAGCGGAGCCCCTTGTGTGGGGGGGGGGGGGGGGGGGGGGGCGTGTTGGCGGCTGCTGGCTGCGGGCGCGGGCGGGGGGGCGGGCCCCCTGCCACTGTGCTCACTCCCAGGGGACTGTGGAGGGCATGTGCCCACCAGATATGTGCACGGGATGGGGGCAGATGTGGGCTGCCTGCTGCAGGCTTGGGCTCCCTGCCCTGCTGCCCTCCTCCTGGGGCCTGCTTTCCCTGCATCACCCCACAAGCCCTGCATCACCCTGGCAAAGCGCCCTGTATCCACCTGGCAGCACCGGGGGTCACAACCCCCAGGGTCTCTGCAGCCCAGCAGGTGGGACCTGGCATGGCAGGGCCACAGGATGGGGAGCCCAAGCCTGCAGTGAGCAGCCTGCACCCATGCCATGCATGAATCTGGGGACACACGCCTCTTCTTGCCCTCCCAGGAGTGTGCAGAGTGATGGGGAGCTCGCTCCTCCTGCCCCCCGGATGAGCTGCCTGCAGCCCCGTCCCACTTGCTGCTGGTGCCCTGTGGCCATGCATTCTGGCCCCAAGCCCCACACACTGCCCAGACTGGGCAGCAGGCCCAGCCCTGCCCAACTCCCTCCCTTCATCCCCATCCCTCCCCTCCCCCCCCCCCCCCCCCCCAGCCTTACCTGCAGGAGCTGCTCTCCAGGCTGCCTGGTGGCCATATGCCTGTACATGCACATGGTGCCCCCAGCCTGACTGCCCTCCTTCTGCACCCCCAGCCCTTTTCAGGCTGGAACTCTGCCAGCCTGCAGAGAGGTCTTTGCAAAAATGCATAATCTGTATGTTTCTCCATTAAAATGAAAAATCCAAATTTTTCTTGGGTAAAAGGAAAATCTGCGCTTTTCTGTTTTTCCCGTGGGAAATGGAAAACCCAGATCCCTGCTAATCATATGCACCAGGCTGAGAGAGGGGACGACAGAGGGATTCTGGGTGAGCTCTTTGGGGCCCCGTTCGGTGAAGTTTGTCAGACATTTAAGGCTAGTGAAGAAACAGGTCATTGGAAATAGGAAAGAAAGGCACAGTTCAGCTGTGGAATTGAAGAAGTTGAAATATATGCAGTTTAGTGGTTCATTATGACTTGTAGCAGTTGAATGATAAACAGTGT